TCATTGAAACATAAATTTTCATTCAACTTCTATCACTAATATGATAAACTATGACGTATTACTTTAGGAGCATAATTGGATCACATGTAATTACTTTTCTGCCATCTATGTATGCATGTATACACGTGTGTTACTCTCCTAACATTTTTTTCTTACACAAGAGTGTGGAAGAAGAGAAATAACTGACGTTCTTGACTTATTTTTTAGGTTTTCACCTTGGAGCAGAAGATTATTTTACACACAAGCGTTGTTTCGATGCTGTCTGCGGTAAAGACTTTTGGCTTAACGATACTCCACTTGACAAGACCGTTAGCAACAAATATTCAACTCACCTCCTCGCCAAAAGAAGTGTTGAAATCATAAAATCACATAATCCGAGAGACGTAAGCATTGGGTGTACAAAGTATTGATTGAGCCCATTCCTTGCATATTCTAGAAAAGCATTTTTCAGGCTAAAATTGATTCATCTTTTTCATTTTTCAGTTGTTAACAAGGCGTCTGATTGTAAAAGATTTGTGACTTGTTCAATTAAGCATTTTAGAATTCTATAATTTGAACGTTTGAATCTTTTGGTTGTCTTGAATATATTACACAGACAAGGGGAATAAATTTAAATTCCTAACATCATACCTCACTGAGAAAGACAAACTGCTCGTTGGTAGTAAATATACACATACAGTTTAATATTTAAAACATATATATATATATATATATATATATATATATATATATGTATATAGGAATATATTTTATATTTTCTTAAAATGTCGAGCAGGAATATCTGAAGCATGTAGAATAAGTGGTAATTGGTAAATTGCTCTGTGTTTAAGATAAGTGGCTATTTTGTTTTTGAAAACCGGCGACAACATAAGACAAAATTTGGTTCTTTGGTAAAAATATGAAGATAAGAATCTCGATGTTTATAGTCCGACACATTTTTGAATCGCAAGTGTCGGATTGATTATTTAATTTTGTAAAGTTTGTTACGAAACGTGTATTTCTTCTTTATTTTAAAGTTTTCTAAAAGCTTGTTGCAGACTGGCGAATGTATTTTGAGTGATCAGAAGGATTTTTAGTGTTGGTGTTCTAAAAACATTCGTCCACAACAATTAAAGAAAAATATTAGAAACAAATCATGCAAAAAGACAAACATTAAATGTACAACAATAACATTGGTTTATATACAATTCAAGAATACAATTGAGTTGAACTTTGATGGATAAATGAGAATAGATGTATTTGGCTGTGTAGGATATTATTGGGAATGTTTGAAAGTATTTGCAATTGCTATTCAGATTTGTTCACAAAATTAAACTAAGTGTGCAGTTACGTATGAATTGTCCTTTGTGTTAGTTCAGTTATTAGTGTGTACGTAAGTTTGTATTATTGTTCAGAATTGGTAGGAGTTGCATACTTTTAGTTGTGTCAGAATTTGATTGTTTGTTTACTAATACTTATTAAGTAGTGAGAAAAATGTCACTTTTTAAAGTATCGTAAGTGATGTTTAGATAGCGTTCCTGAGAGAGATAGATTGTGCGTGTGGATTGTTGAGTCAGAGATATTTTGCGCGGCAAAGTCCTGGTCGGTCAGAGTTTTGCCTTGCGTGGGTCAGTTTGGCATGTCTCTTGGAATGAAGGTCTGACGATATTTATTACTGTAAATGAACAGCAAATGAGGCACAAGGCCAAAAAAGGGGGTTGGAGAAAAGGACGGTCACCATTTGTCTTAATTTATAACTTAGCTAGCCACAACCATTGACCCTATCATGCAAAACAATATTCTTAACACCAAAACAACACATTTAACCATACCTTTCTTGCTACATCCACCAAAATATCTCTTTGTCTTAAATAGTCCCCTTATGTACAAATATTGTCGGGTGGGGGCATAAAAACAACAATTTTTAAAAGATCCCTAATGATTATGTACAATATGACTGATAATATATTTACAAGAAACTAAACAAAAAGTTGTTAGTAATAAAAAAAAACCACAAACCTTAAATGTGGCAGAAATATCAGTTAACCGGACGAAATCGATGCGGGACTATGAAAATATAGGAAACATTAATTTCTCCAAGCAATCACAAAGATACACACTCATTCATACACAACAACAAATACGAAAAACACACACGCGAAACGAAAGGCGCCCCGCATTCACCAGAGAACTGACATCACTGACCACCTAACGAGGGAGGGGATGGGAAGTTAAACTAAAGGAAAAAAAAGGGGGGGAAAGAAATAAAAGGGGCCGATGAGCAAACACACCCTAGCTAAGTTTACCAAAAAAGGAAAGAAAAACTAAAAAATCATATACAATGTTCAACCCAGGAAAACAATATCTTGATGCCTAACCGGCATCAAAATGCCACTCCAGGTCAGTCCCTTTTACTCTGCACATACGCGCAAGATTCACCCACCTTTTGCCAAATTCTGATGAGGTGAGCCGCCGCCTTTCCGTCCTAATCTTGACTTTAAGCTGATGCTTAAAGAACAAGATCAGTTGGGAAGAAGTGAATTTCTCGCCCTCATAGAATTCCTTCTGACGCGTCGTCCAAATCACGACTCTCATAATACATAGTAAGCAACAGAACACAGAATGTTCAGCCTTCGTCATCTGCGGCACCACCTTGCTACAAACAGAACTGGCTTCAAGGACAAAAAACTTTCTCTGCAGCATGCGAACCATGAGGCCTTCAACAAACTTGCACAAAGGCACTACCATCCTGCAATGAAAGAAGCCGTGACCAATGGTCTCGATTTCTCCAGTACAGCGACGGCAGTTTGGATATTTATTCAAGCCTGCTGAACAAAGTCTTTTGGCGACCCAGAGGGCTCCACGAATCACCAGCCAGATGAGTGATGCCTCATCGTTATTGAGGCATTTCAACCCAGGCGCCCAAGGCCATATTGAGCGAGCCTCCTGCTTCGTAAGACCGAGCTCATCAATTAGATAATCCTGAACGCCCCCGCTGACTAACAGTTGATACAATGCCCTACAAGACAACGCTCGGGCATTGGAGAGGCCATCCGACGCCCGTAAGAGGTGCTTCAGAACACGACGACATTCGCGGTAGAAGGAGCATTCGGCTCGGGGTGTACGGCCGTCCTCCTCCTCGCACGAGTACACACAATCTCAGTGATGGGAAATGTTTACGGACGTCTTCCTTCCAGAAGGCGCCATCCTCCACCAGCGCACCGGGTGTCGCATACAAAAGTCGGATCCAGGAGCGAAAGTCGGCTCCGAAACCGGCCGCCGAAAGGACAGCCTCCAGAAAACGATGGTCAACCGTATCGAAGGCCTTGGACTAATCTAAATTGATCAGCGCGGCTTCACTGTCGACTTTTTCTAAGATGAAGCGTACCATATGAAGGTTATCCTGAATAGTCCTGCCCTTCACAGTCTGTACGGAGCCAATCAGACTAAGAGAGGCTGCAAACGGTTGGCTAAGATCTTCGCCAAAATCTTTAACTCAGTGTAACATGGTTAAAGGCCGAAAATTCCCTAACCCATCCCCACCGCTCTTGTCCTTACGCAGCAACTTGATCACACCCCTGGTGAAGCGTTGAGGTATAGACCCCTGCCTCATCCAGTGGTTGAAAATCAGTTCCAGCAAAAGAACAAAAACGGGCGACTGCCTCAAGTAAACTTCGTAGTGAAGACCATCTAGCCCCGGAGATTTATACAGGCCAACCTCCTTCAGCGCTTCCCAGATTTCCGACTCTGTGATGGGTCCCACCTAGCCGCTTCAGCTGCCCCGAGGCAGGGAAAGTCGGCTAAATAGGCGTCGAACTGAGCACAGCACAGACCGGGCTCCGTGGGGAAAAGATCCTGAAAGTAATCCCGAGGAGCCGAGTTGCCACTATTTGTCCAAGTCCATGCTGCCTCCCGAGGGTGCTCATTCCGGTACTTATCGACACGATCAAACTCATCGATAAAGCCCCGAAATAATTTCACGTCCCGGTTGTTAGTACCCGGATTTTGCCCTATGCGATCTATATCGGGGTCAAGGACGGCATTCCAATCCCCGGCTAAAACTACCCGACGAGATTTCGTCAAGAACGGCCCGATCTGCCGAAACAAAGCAGGCTGCTCAGAATGGCTATTGGACGCATAGACCCCAATGAGACGTAGAGCCTTATCCTTTATAGTAACATCCAGCACGCAAAGCCTTCCAGCCGGATCTGCGAAGACAAGAGTACATGCAGCCTTCAAAGACTTGCTCACTAGCCAAGAGACACCCCTCGAACGACCATCAAAACATGCTGAATAAAGGGAGAACCCCTTAGACAGGATGTCCTCACGGACATGAGAAGAAAATCGGGTCTCTTGCACACAACAAACATTCACCGCGAGGCACTGAAGGTCACGAGAGAGTTCGCCCTGCGAGACCCGGACATTTACACTTGCTAACCAGAGAGCCATACTGAAGATCGATTAGGGTTGCTTTCCTGAATTGAACATAGCCAGTGTAATGATGCCGATAGCCTCCCCCATAGACTCATGGCCCATCCCAGTCTTGATGGTACCGTCATGGGAGATTCTGTCGATATTCCAGGCGAAGGACAGTTTTAATGCTCTATAAAGGGAGGGGTGAACAAAAACTGGGACCCTCTCCGCACAAAATTGTTTCAATTTATTTAATTTATCGTTTTGTACGATAGCAATGGGCGGGCCCATTTTGAACGAAGAAATTGCTTCGTCCAACATTGCCCAGATTTGTGTCGTCCCTGTTTCAGATCTAATAACAGTTAACACTCTTTGGGCATTTGGGAAATTATGGGGATCTTCTATGTCTTTATCCCCAAATTGTTTAATCGATAATAGGTATTTAAAATTTTTAATTCTATTACCATAGTCTCTGGCTTTCTCCGCTTGCAAAGGGGAAATTTTGCAAACACGGATTATAAATATGCTTTGATTTTTCTTTTTTTTCAACTGAATCCTGTGTGGGGCTTCTGAGTCTTTTGTTTAGAGGAGGGGGCATTTCAGAAGATTTAATGGGAGAAGGAATGGGGGTGGTGGCGGGGAGTATATGATTGTCTAAATGGGATGGGGTCTCTACTGAGAGGGATATGGGACTGGGCAGAAGAAAGGGAAAGAGAGGCAGGTGATAACTTCTCTCTACAAAGAGGGGTTGAGGGACAGGGAGAAGGTGGTAGGTCGGAGGATGTGGCGGGAGTTGCCTTCTTTGTAGAGGAGGTCTTTGGTTGACGGGATGTAGAGGGCTGAGGAGACTGTGTAGTGATTTTAGGAGGAAGAGACTTCTTTCCTTTTCGTTGTTGGTCTAATTTATTCTTTAGGTCCTTAATTTTTTCTGTTTTCTCCTATCCTGGGTCATAACGTTTTTGTAGTTCTTGGATGGTCGGAATGGAGGCCGGGGCGTCGCCCTTACTGTTGTCAAAGGGAGTGGGGCTGTAAGTGCCTTTAGTCCTATGGGCTTCAGGGGACTGAGGACCCGCTGTCTGACGCTTCCCTCTGGCCCTGCCAACTACCTGCCATTCCCCTCTTCCCCCTTCTCAACTACACTTGTAGTGGAAGAAAGTTCTTCGGTGAATGGGGGCTTTGGAAATGACCCAACCAGGTGTATGACAACTCCGGTCCCGGTAGCCGGCATGCCCATTACAGGCGTGGCGGTTTTTAAAGACTCGGTCAGAATGGGAGTTTGGTCGATTGGGGCCTGACTTCCAGAGGCCTTCTTCTCTGGACAGGAAGAGGAGAGGTGACCAATCACTCCGCACTTCCAACAAACTGGTTTACGGCCGGTCACTATGACCGGCAGCTTCAGGCCACTAACGTCAAGACAGTTGAGGATGGAGCCGAAGGCCTTATGATCGAGCATGATATCGAAGCTCCATCCCCGAGTCAGGTTATCGCAAGAAGCACCCAGAATCTCGCCGTATTGGGCAAAGAAAGCCGCCAGTTGCTCTCCGATAATCTGAGGAGGGACCTCATATACTGCTACTATGGTCCTTCGCCGGCCTTGTGCTCTGTACGAAAAATCAAGTCTTTCGTTATTAATTCCCTGCTTGAGGCTCTTACGCAGTCTTCGGCTCTGGGTAGCAGCACGTCCCACATGAAAAAGCCATTGCCCTTAACGATTTCGAGTGACTTAAACTCCAGTGCTTTCAACACTGTGTCTTTCGTCGAACGACAAATTTTGCGTGAACGCTTGTCGACGACAAAATTTGACACTATTCTTTTCTCGATCTTCTTAAGTTCGATTGGATCCTCCAAGAGTCCACCTTTCACCACAAGGTGTGCGTAACTCTTGGCACAATCCAGAACTCCGCAATATCGATAATGCATTTAGGAGGGGACTTCCATTAGCACTTGAATTGTCATTTGATTCATCTAAGTTTTTGATCTTTTCGGCCTTCGTAGATTTGGAGGCTTTTTTGAGCACGTCTACAATTTTCTCATTAGTAGGAATTGTGGGTAAGGCTGGATATTCATCAGGGTTATTTTTGTCAGGCGGATCTTTCTTAGGATTAAATAAATGCTTCCTCACTTGAATGCAGACATTTTAGGTTTCTTTTTCAGAATTAAAAAAGAAGGTAAATTTTCCTTCTTTTCCATTTTTTTAAGGGAAGGGGAGGGGTAAAAAGGGGGTGGGAAATAGTTAATAAATTCCGCCTTATAGTTGAAAACTTAAAAAAGAAAGGTAAAATTAACAGTAAAAAAAAACACAGCAGGTGACAGGCAAATATTAAAAACACAAAGCTCGCCGGAAAGCGAGACAACACGGCAAGAAAAAAATAAAACGTACAATAAATAATAGACAAAAATTAAAGAACAAAGTTCGCCTAACGGCGAAGCAATAAATTTAAAAAAAAAAGGAAAACACGAAAAGAAAAACGAAAACGCTAGACAAAGAAAAAAAACAAAGAAAAAAAACAAAGAAAAAAAAAGAAAATACGAAACTTTTAAAACTAGACTGAGCTAGTTACAAAAACAAAATGGCTGACGCCAAAACAAATAAACAAAAGAAAATAGACAATACAAAGGTTAGAACAAAATAAATGGACAAATAGACAATACAAAATTGGAACAGAAAAAACAAAAACGAAAAACTTAAAGGATATTAAAAGGAAAGAATTAAAGAATTAACGGTAAGTCAAACAAAAAATAAAGCTAAACACAGACAGGGGTTACAAACAAAAGAAAACGAAGATATAATTAAAAGAGAAATTAAAGAAAATGAAAATCAAAAAGGAAAACTAGAATAAAAAAAATTAAGGCGGTAAAAATTAAAAAAAGAGTGGAGTAAAAAAAGAAAAAGAAAAAAATCAAAATCTTTTCAAAACAGTCGTAAGAACACAAAAGACTTAAAAAAAAAAAACTTAACCAAAAATGACGTTCAACACAAAAGGGTAAATTTCAAGAAACAGTCGGGCAGTAAAACAGCAGTCAAAAAAGGTAAAAAAGACTCAGGAATTACGATCTGACTGTTTGAAGCGATCAGGAATTTCCTATTTATAGATTTCTGGACAAAAAATATAGGCTCCGGTGGCTTGCGCGCAAAAAAGCATTTTCACGTGAATTTGCTACAGTTCTAAGGCTTTTGACCAATAGGAAACTTCGTTTGCTGAAACTAGAGTTTTGATTGGTTGATAGACATTTTGGTGTGAAGTGGATTATGCTGGATGGGTGAAAGGTTAGTATGGATTATTCCATCAATAACCTCCTATATTAATAGTCATAGGATTATGGGTATTAATATGTGATGTAAGTCCTAAATTTGGCAGGCCAATGAACGTGCCTACTCGACTTGGTACAAGTAGATGATTTTGTCTCAGAGTCACTTGCTGGACTTGATTGTGTACTGGATGGTTCTGGATGTGTTGTATTATGAGTGGTTAAAGGCTTGCCATCATGCTGTACATATGCTGGTTTCAAACGGTCGATACTGACCGTGTAATGTTTCCTCGCGTGGTTGATAACGAAGTACTTTGGCGTGCGAGATATTACCGGGTGTGGTCCAGTGTAACTAGATGTGAGAGGCTTACGGACCGTATCTCTGCGGAGGAAAACATATTCTGCTTGGTGCAGGTCTGCAGGGACGTAATAAGGTTTGTTATATGCCCGTGTTGGAGTATAAATGACGTCAGTCATCTTTTGCTTGAGGTCGCTGACGAAATTGTTGGAAGGGACATTGTCAGTAGTATTGCTGAAAATTTGTCCGGGCAGGGTTAAAGGTGTTCCGAAGACTAGTTCTGCACTAGTGCACTTTAAATCTTGCTTAACAGTGTTTGTCTGCGGCCACTTGTAGATGCTGTAAGCGCATACTTGAGCTGCCTGTGGAATCTTTCCACTAGTCCGTTGGCACAAGTGTGGTAAGCCGTGGTGGAGATGTGTTTGATTCCCAACAAACTCGTGAACTCGCTGAACAGTGTGGATTGGAACTGTAGTGGTAATTACCGAAGGGCATCCAAATATAGTAATCCAGTGGGTAAAGATTGCGTTTGCTACTGCTTCAGCTGTTATTGATGGAAGTGGTATGGCTACTGGCCATCGCGTGAAGCGATCTATGATGGTGAGTATGTATTCATAGCCGTTTACACGATCCAAAGGACCGACCAAGTCCACGTGTAAGTGGGTAAATCGTCCATCAGGGTTGGGAAAAGTTGATGCAGGCGCTTTGGTGTGTATGCCTATTTTGGTTGCTTGGCAACGTAGACACGTGCAGGACCACTGCTTAACGTCAGTTGCCATACCGGGCCAGACGAATCTGTCCGATATGGTCCGTAACGTTGCCTTAGCACCGGGATGAGCTTGTGAATAAAAATGATCGAATACTGGTCGTCGCATTGCTGGAGGTAGGTAAGGGCGTGGATTGCCCGAGCTGACGTCACAGTATACGGATTTGTCAGTAAATGGAAGTGGTCTTTTCTCGATCTGCAAAGAGGTGTCAGATCGGACAGATGAGAACGTTTCATCATTTAGCTGTTCATCTGCTAGGGTATCGAAATTGAGTGCAGCAGGATGAATGGTATTGAGTGTTGTACGGGAAAATGCATCGGCCACTGTGTTGCTGGTGCTTTTGAAGTGGCGGATGTCAGAGGTAAATTGTCCTATATAATCCATATAGCGAATGTCACGAGGGTTGTGCTTCTCGGATTTAGCGTGTAAGGTCGGTAAATACTGTGAATTCACGACCTTCTAATATGTGACGGTAGTGTCTAATTGCCAGGTACACTGCTAATAGTTCACGTTAGAAAGTGCTATATTTCATCTGCGCGGAGTTAAGTTTGAGAGAAAAGAATGATAATGGTATCTCAATTCCATGAACAACCTGATGTAAGACTGCGCCGATTGTGTTAGAAGATGCATCAGTGGTGAGAGTTTAGCGTCATCCGAGGAAGTTATGTTAGACAATTTAACACAATTTTGTAGCGCTTGTTTAGCAGCATTAAAAGAGTCCATCTCTTCCGAAAACAAAGTTATTTTTGGGTTCTTTTTTATGCTTAGATAAAATGTTGGTTAGAGGTAGTAATATAGCAGCACAATTATTAATAAATTGGCGGTAATAATTAATCATTCCCAGAAATCTCCGAAGTTGACGTAGAGTTGAAGGTGGTGGGAAGTCAGTAATAGCTTCTACTTTCTGGTCTAAGGGAGTTAACCCATGTTCGTCTACTATGTGACCAAGAAAAGTCAAACTGGGGAGAGCAAATATGCATTTTTCGACGTTTAATTTTAAACCATAATGCTGTAAACGTTGGAAAACTGTTTGGAGATGGTCGTAATGTTCTTCGTGCGTCTTTCTGGCTATTAATACGTCGTCAATGTAGGCGTAAGTATAGGGTAATCCGCGGAGGACTTCGTCAATGAGTCGCTGAAATGATTGAGCTGCTTTGCGCAAACCGAATGGCATTCTGGTAAATTTAAATAAGCCAAAGGGAGTTGTTATTGCCGTTTTAGGAATGTCAGACTGCTCAATCGAGATCTGGTAAAATGCCTTCCGCAGATCCAGCTTGGTGAAAACTATGGCGCCTTCTAACGATAAAGCGAAGTCTTTAATGTGGTGGATTGGGTATTTATCCGGGACAGTTTGGGCATTTAGTAGCCTGTAATCCCTGTGTGGACGCCAATTGTGGGAATCGGCCTTTGGGACCATGTGAAGCGGTGTAGCATAAGAACTGGAGGATGGTCTGATTATGCCCAGCTTAAGCATATTATTAAACGCGTCCTTAGCTACCCGTAGTTTGCTGGGGTGTAGACGAAGCGGTTGGGTATGCACTGGGGGTCCGGTAGTTTTTATCGCATGTGTCTGATAGGCTCTGCATAACAGGGATTTATATTTCTGTAGTAATTTTTCGTAGCCATTTGCTTTGGGTACTACAGCTGTTAAACCTAATGTTGAGTGTATTGATGTAGATCCGCGGCGCTGTAGATTCGTACGCGCGTCAGTAAGCGTACGCGAAAATAAGTCCACAGATAAGTCGTAATGTGCCAAAAAATCTGCGCCTAGGATTGGCATTTCAACATTAGCAATTGTGAAGGTCCAAACGAATTCCCTTCGTAATCCGATATTGAGTGACATAACACGTTCGCCGTAGGTATTGATTGATGTGCCGTTAGTTGCTTGTAGTTTCAATGAAGCTTGCTTGGATAACGTTGATTTGTCGCAATTCTTGAATGGTACAACGCTGACTTGTGCACCGGTGTCAACTAAAAAATCGAGATTGCTGTTTCGGTCGCGAATATAAAAGAGGCGATTTCTGTTGTCAGTCCTAGCAGCTAACGCCTTTACAGGCAAGTCGTTTTCCCTGTAGGTCAGTTGGGAATGTGTTCCGCAAAGCACATGGCGGTTCGCACTTTCTAGCGCGCGCGCCAAACACCTCATGGTAACAGCAATTACCATGCTGACGGTGGCGAGGGCAACGCGACGCTGAGCGTGGTCTACGATTGTAATGCGGGGCAATTGAATTGCTCCGACTTCTCCTCGGTGTGTTTCGAATTTCATCAAGCCGTAAAGAGAGCTTCTGCAATTCTGATGTTAGAAGTTGTAATCTATGGTTGAAATCCGGGGTGAGGTCGGGCTTACGGAGGATATTTGCCAATTTGGTGTGGTATCAGCTATTTTGTCGGCAATCACAGCCAACTTCTCTATGTCAACTTCATCTGTGAGTGCAGCTAGTATTCGTACGATTTCAGGCTGTAGTTTATCTAACCACATCAGCTTTAGGACAGTGTCATATATGGTATCGCTGCCGAGTAACGATTGCATGCGAAACAAGAGTTCATATGGTTTGCTAATTCTTAAGGTCAAATTAGTCAGAAGATCCTTTATTCTACGTTCTTCTGAACAACATGTGTGGTATAATATGGCTTGCCTTAGTACTTCGTAAGGCTTGTCAGTTGGAAAGTTTGTGAGGATGTCTGTCACTTCTGCAGCCACTTCTGCAGGCAGCTTCTCAACGACGAAGGCAAACTTGGAATGCTGCGATGTGATGTGTCGCGCTTGAAATATCGCATCGAGTTGTAAAAACCACGTCTGCGCATTGGAATTATACGCGGGAATTTCCAGCCTTATTGCCACTTTAGTGTGGGGAATTGGTTCAGCTATATTGAGTGAATATAATTTGGAGGGGAAACAAAGACTTTTCGCGCCTTTTTGTGTTATGTAAGATTCGGTCTCGATACGTGAAGGAAATATATATATTTTTTTGTGTGCTGTGTATGTTGAACGTCGCATTTTTCGATTCGGCCAATGTTATTAATGTTAGGATTACGATGTTGTAGTTGCCAGTTTTGTAGTGGTTGCTGATTCAAACGTCGAGGTTATCAATTTGTTGGTATAAGAATCGGCGGTCTCTAATTTTGTTGGCGCTGTTACAAACATCGGGGTAACCAATTTTTGTGAACGTCAGAGTCACCAATTTTGTTGCAGACTGGCGAATGTATTTTGAGTGATCAGAAGGATTTTTAGTGATGGTGTTCTAAAAACATTCGTCCACAACAATGAAAGAAAAATATTAGAAACAACTCATGCAAGAAGGTTGAAAGCAAAGACAAACATTAAATGTACAACAATAACATTGGTTTATATACAATTCAAGAATACAATTGAGTTGAACTTTGATGGATAAATGAGAAGAGATGTATTTGGTTGCGTAGAATATTATTGTGAATGTTTGAAAGTATTTGCAATTGCTATTCAGATTTGTTCACAAAATTAAACTAAGTGTCCAGTTACGTATGAATTGTCCTTTGTGTTAGTTCAGTTATTAGTGTGTACGTAAGTTTGTATTATTGTTCAGAATTGGTAGGAGTTGCATACTTTTAGTTGTGTCAGAATTTGATTGTTTGTTTACTAATACTTATTAAGTAGTGAGAAAAATGTCACTTTTTAAAGTATCGTAAGTGATGTTTAGATAGCGTTCCTGAGAGAGATAGAGTGTGCATGTGGATTGTTGAGTCAGAGATATTTTGAGCGGCAAAGTCCTGGTTGGTCAGAGTTTTGACTTGCGTGGGTCAGTTTCGCATCTCTCTAGGAATGAAGGTCTGACTCTTTGAAGCGACCAGGAATTTCCTATTTATAGATTTCTGGACAAAAAATATAGGCTCCGGTGACTTGCGCGCGAAAAAGCATTTTCACGTGAATTTGCTACAGTTCTATGGCTTTTGACCAATAGGAAACTTCGTTTGCTGAAACTAGAGATTTGATTGGTTGATAGACATTTTGGTGTGAAGTGGATTATTCTGGAGGGGTGAAAGGTTAGTATGGATTATTCCATCAAGCTCAACTATAACATTTTGAAGACTGTAATTTGGTATGCTTATAGCTTTCCTTTAATATTAACGGTCTTGTAATCTTTAATTTTCTAAGTAGTTTATTTTACAATTAATATAGTTTTTAGTTTTAAAATGTTACTGACATTGATAATATTTGCGCTTAATATTGACAACTTGTAATATGGTCATTACATTTTAATTCAAACATGTTAATCCTCTAATTATAGCAGATACCATCACAACAAAATAAAAAAAATAAAAAAAGTAAAATATCTAAGGCAGGGATTTCACAAACTTTTTCCTTTCTTTTGTCCTGCTTGTTTGTGTTGGCATATGTAAATAAGATTATGGTACAAAATTTATGGAAACCATAGAATAGGTAATTGACCAATAGTATCTGTTTACAATTTTATTCAGTATATTTTTATATGTTTAATGAAGTGGATGAGCTTGGTCCTTTTCAGCAAGCGAATCAGTTCTGGGAACCGTTTCGGAGGGATGCATACATATATGATTTTCACCTTGCACAAAATTTGGTTTTGATCATTCGCATTGCTGAAAATCTTGTTCACAACGGTAAACAAATGGGAACACAAACTTTCCACACAGTTTCTAGATAGAGGGGGTATGATTCCATCATGCAACACCAAAACTATGGTAGATGAAAGATTTCGAAAATACCTTTGCCGTTCAAAAAATGTACAAATTTATCTTGAAAATTAGAGGAGATTTAGAAGTACTTCGAAAGGGATTCCGAAAATGATTTACATAAAAAATACAAACCTAACTAATAACGTGGCGAGGCAAATGTTTCTGGTTTCATTGATGTCCTCTTCATTCAGGATTGTAATGCTTTTATTCATATTCTGAAAACTTTTATTAGACCCCAGTTAGTTTTTATATCAAAACTCAAATTTTACTTGAAATTAGTTTAATTTGTTTATGAAATTTATGCCAGTAGAACAGTTGACTTGATCTACAGTTCATCTGCATACTGATTCGATTTCTCAAAAAGATTTTTTCAGGTCATCCAGCTACTACAGTGATAACTAAATCTAGAAAATTCAAACAACTTTCATCACTGCTAAAAACAGACAGAATTTGGAATATACTAAACAAAAGATTGCTTGGCTATGAAGATATATGCCCGCGAGCAAGTCAGAAATAAGATCTGTTTACAATAAGGATACAATTACAATTGTAAATAATCACTTTGTCATATCCTGGCGGCACTCTCACATTAAAAAAAAAAACAATTGGAAGAAAAAGCTTATTAACCAGCGTTTTTGTAAGACTGGTTCAGAATATAAAGAGACCTGAAAAGTAATTCAATATTCCGCAGTTCAGAGACTATGATGAAATTGTAGTATCTGTTCCGCCGCCATGACCAGCTAAGACAAGCTTTGTGCTCGATCCCACGCAATATTGACCAATATTTTGACCCCCCACCTTATTTAACTGACCTTGCGTCGCATCCCGCTCCAGTGTGTGTATGTAGAGAGGGGGTTATGCCTAGATGTTCTGTGGCCCAGATGTGTAGTATCTAGCTCCAGCTAGCCAGCCATCATCATCTCCAGTAGGATTCCAGCTCCTACCACTCCAGCCATCATTGCTAACGATATGCAATAAACTCCTTTTTATGAAACAATCTCTAGAGACCATAAAACTGTCCTTCTCAGGACAAAACTATTTCTCACCGTCTACATGAGCCTTGTCTAGTTCACACTAACATGATTTTTGTTTATGTAATTATCTTTAACAAAAATAAACTTGGCAATAATTATTTTTACTCAAGTCTTCGTTTTGTTTGTTGTTGTCTTCCGTCATTCGATATCTGTTTGCGGGTCAATAACAGCAACAAAGTGGTGACCTATGACGCGAATGACTGCAACAAATGATTACTTGACGTAAAACAAAAACCACTGTATTCACTATGGCTTCAAGCAAAGGTACACCTTACATGTCAAGTCAATGCGTCAACACCCCTGCTCCACCTCCCCACATACGACAAAGGCAACCCCAGAAATTAGTTTCTGCAGCTTGAAGTGATATTCACCTCCCAAAAATACACACACTTGAAAAGTGCAATTATCAAGAGGACTGGACGTTCCGACGAAGAGTTACTCCGCAAACTTTTCACCCACACCAGTGGATGTAGAATTATCTTAATCTTTCTGGAGGTTATCATCTACGGCATCCCTATTTAGTAATGAATTCTTTGCTGGTCACTTACAGATACTGTAGATTCGCGTGCATTGGTGAATCTTATGTGAGTATATTGTGGGTTTGCTTCCAGTAAAATACTTCGTCAACCAATACTTATTGGCTCGGACATGGCGATGCAAAAAAAAAAAACAGGTCCTGGCGTAGATAACCAAGTAAGTAAGCAATGGCCGCTGGGAGTTCGCCGTTGGTATGAAAAGAGCCTTTCATGCGGCGTGTCATTAGTAGCAGGACAAAGAACTATTGCACAAGCCTCCTTTTCTACAGAAGAATGTTTTTACTCTGTAGTCGTTAGTGTACGTGAAAAGAATGCCACTGGGCGGTTTGCTTGATTCAGAGTGGCCGCAATAGCAGTATCAGAGGCATCTGTTTCTACTACGGGAAGAATGTTTTCATCGACCGAGTATAGTAAGGCCTTTTCAATTTCTTCCTTAAAGTTTTCAATTGTTTTTACAGATTCTGAATCAAGAGGGAATCAATCAGCTGTTATTAAGGGTCTAATTTTGTCAGAGAATTTGGGTATCCACTGAGAGTAGGAAGAGAATAATCCAAGCACTTGGCGCAGTGAGGTTTTGTTCTGAGGAACAGGTAGCTCTCTTAAAGCTCGTAGACTTTCTGAATCAGGTCTAAGTAGGCCATGTGATATGTTGTAGCCAAGAAAATCAATGGATGGTTTAGAGAAAACATTGTGGGTAAGGTTACACCGTGTAGCAATCTTTTAAAATTTTTCGTAGTTCTCGTCAGGTTCTTGTTGATTTTTCCCAACTACGACTATGCTGTCTACATAGGCATACACACCCGTTAAAATATTTTCCTTAATAAACTTATCCATTATCCTTTGGAAACATGCGACACCATTAGTCACTCCAAAAGGAATTCTACATAATTGGTAAAGTTTACCATTAGATTTGAATGCCGTGTAGGGCTTATCTTATTTTTTATTGGTATCTAGTGATATGCACTCTTCAGATCCAATGAGTTGTACATATTATATTTTGCTATTTCTTGAGCCAGATCACCCATTCTTGGTAATGGATAACCATCTAATCTGGTTAAATCTATTAATTGTCCTACTGTAATCGACTATAAGCCTCTTTCTTTGACGCTCACTAATTACTATTAAGACGAGCCCTCCAAGGGGATGTACTTTCCTCAATTACATCCTTCTGGATCATTTTCTCAATCTTAGTCTGTATGAAACGCCTGTCAACCTCACCAAATCTTTTAGATTTAGTTGTAATAGTCTGGATCAATGTTGGAGAATAAAGA